ACTCACTTATTTGAACGTTGGGTTGGGTTACCTAGATCATCAATGATGGATTGAGTTTGGGTTGAATGAAAACGGTCCAAATGTTTTTTGGACAGGTCGAGTCTTTAATTGGGTACCAGTGCAATCTAAATATGAAAAAGGAAAATTTGTCTTAAAAAAGGAAGGGTAGGGAAGTTTAATTTTAGTATACTCCCACTTCAACCGACAACAAGGGAGACCGAGTGCTCACGTGGCATCTGCCACGTCATCGAGATTCACCAAATAAGTCAACCCATCAGCATTCAGGCAAGCGCAACCAGCATTTGTGCACAATGCAACAAATGTACTTTAAAATTTTTTTTCTCCCTTTCTTTTGTCAATCATCAATTTCTGTATTATTTCTACTCCTATTTTTATTTCTATTCTAATCTATCTAAGAGAGTATCGAACTAAGTGAAGAGAGATTAGAGAGAGCGATTCCCACCTTTAAATCAGAATAGTAATTTTAGTATAAGTGCAGAGAAGACTTTTAGTCAGGCTTGTAGCTTATGCTTAAGAAAGTGACTAAAGCCATTTATAAAAAAAAAAAAGGCCAAACACAATCTCAACTAAGCATTACCATATGTGTGCTATAGTTGTGAAATATAAATTGGTGCAGAAGCTTTTGTAGTGTTTTAGAACTAGTCTTTATATTTTCTAGCTTTTTTTTGGTCCTATTAATCTAAGTCAAACTTCTGCCTAACAGAAGAACAGAACTTGTTTAGTTGACCAGCTTGGAACACTTTTTTTGTCTTGTTGCCCCTGTGAGGATTGATCTCTTATACAGGAACACTTACACTCAAATTTTAAGGGCCGAATTGAAACGTTTTCAATTTGAGAACACTTTAAGCAACTTTGGAGGACCATCCTGACATTAAAAAACCTCATTTTTACATTTTGCCAACTAGATGTAGACCGTCGCAGTAAAGACTGTGAGAGCAAATAATACTACAAGGTAGAGGAAGATAAATTCAAGGGATGGAACCGTGTTGAATTCCGCATTGATTCAAAACTTTGTTGCAGATATTTTAAAGTGATTGTCCGCTCTAGCTACATATTATGATATAAAGGATTTAATGTCATGCCTCAAAGAGTTGACTATATATTTTGTGTATCACCCATATAATCAAGCTGCTGACTTTATAGCTAGTTATCTCAATAGGGTGGATAAAGTTATTTTAAAGTCAAATTTCTCTCCTGATCTTCTTAGAATTGTAGATAAAGATAAGAGAAAAAAAGTTGACGATTAGAGCGTAAATTTTTATTTTTATTATATAAAGCTTGCCAATTCTTCTTCATCAAAAAAAAAAAAAAAAAATACTACAAGGTGCGTGCGTTAAAATACAGAATGGGCACAAGAAGGAAGGAAATAAAGGATCAGGAAAAGATTGCAGCAGGGAAAAGAAAATAGAAAAAGGAAAAAAAAAAAAAAAGCAAAGCAGCAAAGGTTAGTAGTATAAGGGTTGGTTAATGCCTTGTTAAACGCGGTTGTTGTTGTTTGCTGGGGTGGAGGAGGACCCAGTGTTGGCCATCGACTTGGACCCGGAGATTGTGAAGCCGGGCGAACAAATTCACGGCTCTTCGCACACCCCTATTGTCGGCGGCGGTCATGTAGTCATGTCCAAAGAGGACCCCACCACCGCCAGGGCTTAAAATCTTGTAGGCCCGATTTATATCGGACCACGCCGAGTGAAAATCGTGACCGGCATCCACTTCAATCAAGTCCCCGAATATCCCCCACTCACACAGCTTCTCCAGCGCGGAGCCGGTGGAGAAGGGCAGGAAGCTCACCAAATGGGTGGCGTTGGCGCTGACAACGTTCTGCATGAACTGATACAGAAGCGTCACGTCCCCGTTGAGCATCGTGAAGTCCTTGAACCATCGGCGGTGGCGGTCCTCCTGCTGAAACCCGGGCCAACCCCGGAAGTCGTCGACGCAGATGATCTGAGTACCCTCATGAAGGCCGGCTAGTCGAGTCAAGCGGGCCATGTGAAGCGCTGACGCCCCGAGAAACGTGCCCACCTCGATGATGGTCTTGGGTTGGACTTTCCGGATGAGGTGGTCGAAGACGGGAGCGGTGGAGCCCCAGCCTCTGAGTTTGGTGGGGTGCAGGAGGCGGGAGATATGCGGGGGAGGGAAGTTGTCCCAGGGGGAGGTGCCGTTGAAAACTCGGTCTATGATGGTTTGGCGGACGAGTTGCGGAGGAACTGGCTGGGCGGCACAAACGGAGCCGAAGAAGTTGTGGTGGTCTTCTGGAGCTAGTGGAGGAGGGGGCCGGGTGATGGAAGTGGGGGTGGAGATGAGGAGGTTTGTGGGATTCTTAAGAGTAGTAGGACTAGTACTGTTTCTTGAGGATGCCGGCACTGCAGACAGATAGCCTAAGGTGTAACATAAGAGGAGAAGAATAAGATAGGCCGTGGGTTTAGCGATAGAAGCGGCGGTAGCGAACCTCGTACGAAAGCGGCGGGGGTGGTGGCGGTGCAGCGTCTGTGCTTCTTGTTTCATCCTGGTATCGGAAGTCGTGTTATGCATGCTGGTTATAATTATGCATACCAGTATATGTATATGTTAGGAGAAGAAGGGCAAAGAAACAAGAAAGAAAGAAAAAAAAGAAAAAAGAAAAAAGGGGGCAACGGCACAGTGCTTTCCTTCCTTTTAATGAAGAAGCTTAAAGGATGGGGAGGGGAAAAAAATGAAAAACAAAAAGGAAGAAGTAACTGAGAAAGTGAGGAAGACAGAAGCTAAAGGATAAGGGTCGATCAATGAAGTTTTTGTTTTCAACTTAATTTTGGCAGGGAGCTAGGAAGAATATACGAGAAAAAAAAAAAAATCCAAAGATGAGACTTGACTCTTGAGAGAGAGCTGAGTGGCCTTTGTTATTTCGAGTTCGAGAGAGAAGCTGAGATGAGGGTTTAAGTTGACGGTTGAGAGAGCGAGTGTTACTGCTGCATGATATCGACCGGCCACCAATACGAATATACAAACAACAAAACGGAAGCCTTTGGATTTAATTAATTCTTTGATTAGTAGTAAGTTACTACATGCGGATTGCGGAGCGGACTGCTACTCTTCTTTTTTTTTTTTTTTGTTTTTTCTATAATGGGCAGAAAAATCAAAACGACTACTTTTATGTCACTTGGGATCCTCGGTGACATGTTTTCTATGCCAACCCAATGTCACCTATAATATTGTGTCAAGTGTCCTGTTATTATTTACACTTGTGTTAAACCAAACTAAGTTGAATTATTAGAAAATTAAAGTGTAAATAATAACAAGACACTCGGTGCAATACTATAGCGCCACTCACCACTCACCACTAATAAAATGTAGGGAGAAACCCTTCGTTCATTACTCACCACTCACCACTAATAAAATGTGTCGTATATAGCGGAGTATTTCACCACCCAGTCACCAACCATATATATGTATATATGTGTGTGTGTGTCATGGCAGAATATTTCATCACCAACCATATATATATATATATATATGTGTGTGTGTGTGTCATGGCAGAATATTTCATCACCAACCATTTCATTTTTTTCAATATTCTTTCAATACGCAATCAAAAGATACCGCTGATGATATGGATATGATTAATTACATGTATGCGAGAAGGTCGGTTGAGAAAGAGAACGAAGGAATTCTTTCTTTATTCTTCTCTCCCCCTGTTTAAGTTTAACATTAGCACAACTTCCTTTTCGGTCCCTCCCTTTCGCTTGTCAATTCTCTCTTTCCCGACTTTGGTGGTTATCTAACAAGTTTTTTTTTTTTTTTTTTTTTTTAATTTCCCCCCATACCTTTCCTAATTTGCATAATAATCTCGCAAAGGCAGAGCTCATGAGATATTAGATATGCAGGCAGCGGACAAAACAAATTACAACTACGAAGCACATTATCAGTATAGTGATGAAAGCATTTATCACAGATGAACCGAACAGAAAAAAGAAAAAAATCATAATACTACTAGTCTATAAAGAAATTTGATATTTTCCTGGAAAATCTAATTATTTTATTGTACACTCACTCGACCCAATCCAATTATTTCACGGGAATGCTACTCCTAAATAACAACAATTCAATTATTTCTCCCGACAGACAGCGCACCCACCAGTAAATGTAGTACAACACAATACGTATAATATTATTGTCAACAAGAACAACAAATAAGGATACGGACGCACCCACCGACTTGCTTAAGACATGTAAACCGACTTCCTCAAACATATAAACCGACTTACTTAAGACGATGTGAATTCTTTACCATTCCTCCTCTGTTCCAACACTATAGCAGCTATTAGGGCTGATCAAAGAAACCAAAAAAGGTTACTAAATGAAGGCATGCATCTCAAATTCTCTCAATGCACCAACCAACATGGCCACAGTTATGTCAAATTTGGGTTAGATTTTTTTTGTTTTGTTTTTTGATTGAATGGCCGCTAGGCTGTGGCAAAATAAACTAAACCAACCAACGTGCTTTAAACGCTTTATTTTTAGATCGTATTCTTCCTAATTTCCCAAGTGCTAAAAGCTAAGGAAATGCAAGTTCACTTCTTATTTCACCAACACAGCACCTTACGTACGGCCTTTTAATACACCAATTTCCATCCTCAAAATACCCTTATTCAAGAGAATCCTCCAGCTGATTACCGATCAAGAGCTCCACCAAAATTAGGAAAAGCCTATGCATTCTTTCACAACAACAACACTAAAATTAGTTGGACTGACCGACATCCCCTAAACACAAGCTTATTACAGAGACTAGAAGCCGAAGCTCAGACCACAAGCTTTCTCCCTATAATTACAACACAAAGTCGGCTACAACAAACACCAACCAAGCCTATCCTTCCCTATAAAAGCAACTCTGTTTTCTGTTAATTATCACAAAAACCATCAGCCACAACCAGTCCTATTACGACAGAAACCTCCTCCTATCAACAAACACAAACAGCCAAAGTGCAGCCTAAACATTTTTTTTTTTAAGGCCCCATTACTTGGCTTCCTCTGAACCTTCTCCACTGCCGCCACGTCCAGTGGCTGAGTTCCCCTGGCCATCAGCTCCTGAGGGCCCTGCCTCGGATGCATCCTGTTTATTTCTATCACTTGGGCCAGAAGATGCAGGAGGTCCACCCCCTCCTAGGGCTGCCTCGCTGTGCATCGGATGCATGCCATTATTGGGCCCTCCAGGTCGAACACTGACTTGCCCTTGTATACCCTGCTGATGCTGTTGGTGTAGTTGCTGCTGGTGGTGGTCCTGCAGTTGATGTGGATTATTGTACTGCAAAGGCATCTTTGCAGGAAATACACCCGGTTGCTGAGCCATGGCACCAGCTTGAGGGTGCTGCATGTAGAATCCTCCTTGTTGCATGGCAGGATGGGCAGCCATCTGCAAGTATACAAATTAAGCATAAATTCTGCAACAAATACAACATTACCAAACTCAATCAGCTGAACTCTCTAATAGACCTGTGGAGGCATTGTGGGCGTCTGTGGTTGAGCATCTGCTATTGCAGCCAAATACATCAAATTCTTTTGCAGTTGAGCCTGGTACCTTAGATTAATCAGAGTCCCACGTTTATTATCAGGAAAATGTAAAAGAAATTACAGCATGGAATAATGTGCCAAAAAAATCAGAAAGAATGAAGACTTAGGCTATATTATGTAAAACAGACGTCCTGACAAACAAAGACTCAAGTTCTTCCATTATCTCCAAAGTTGCTCACTCTCAGAGACAGTCTCTCACATCTATCCCTTTCTTTCTTTGGATCACAGAGAAAAGAGATGAGTATCCTCACACATCCTGGTGGACAAATATCCCACATCTGGATGCTTCATTGAAAAGTGGAACTGACTGACCAATGGCCTATAAAAGAGCAAACAGAAATCTCAACTCGTATTGCTAATACCTAACCTAAGATCCATGAGCACCAGTAGAATGGTTCCTTTGGGCAAGTCAAAGTTGGGCATCACCTTTGTACCTTTTAAAACATTTATATTGAACCTCCAAACAATTCCAGGTAAAAAGACACACAAGAACTGTTACATTAGAGCACCAATTTAAATAAGTACATTGACCAACTGCAAGCCATACCCAAGTAAAGAAGAAGCTTGAGTAGAAAAGTTTTATTTCAGCTTTTACTTTACATTCAAATGCAAACTGCCATCTACAAATTCTGATGTTAGCCAATATTAATTCTATATCCCTCTTCCTCTTTTTGACACAAGCATCAACCAAGACCTGGAGTTTGAATTGAAGAAGAAGACTGATTACAAAAAAACATGCATATTTCATATTTTGTGTACGACCATAAAAAGCTTGAAAATGAGAAAAGTGCAGATAGCTTACTAGATATCACATAATTAGACAGTCAAAAAGAAGAAATAATGAAGTGTGTGCATGGATGGGAAGGCAGTAGCGACCATTAAAAAAATTAACCACATGGCTGTATCAATGTGCACGCATGAACACACACACACACACATAGAGAGAAAGAGAGGTAGTTCACCACATTGATACATGGCTGTGTCAATGTGTCAATGAACACAGACACACACATAGAGAGAGAGGGGTAGTTCACCACTTACTGGGCACATTCAGCAAGTTTTCCAAGATTTTGATTGTCCAAAATTGCCAAAATCAGTTTCTTATTCTCATCAAGGTACTGCATAAAACATTTAGAACCAAACCAGGTGCGTGAGAAAATCTACTTTCCACAAACTTTGACAAAATAAACTTCAAAGGAGGTGCCAACGTAACCACCAATATGATTCATTTGTTTAAAGGTAATACTGAAATCAAGTAAACAATATACACCTGACAGCAAGAGAACAAACAACTTCACATGATCACGGCTAGTATAGATAACAATAACACTAAGAATCACATGCCTTGGGAGAATGATGCATCATTAGTGAATATCATACAGGTAAGGGCAGGCCCTTAAAAAGTAGTAAGACACAGAGCATTCCATGCGTGTGTAATGCTTGTAAGCATCTATTACTACGACGTTGTTTTTTTCTGTATTTTTTTTCTCAAACAACAAGTTCTCACAAAAAAAAATCAAGTATTGTATTACAACTGTGCCAGCATATATAAAAAGCTTGCTCTGCATGAAAGAATTGAGTTTTAGGAGAAAACAATTTGTGGAACGACAAATTGGAGCCCTACAACCAATGATGCTAGTAGTTTGAAGATAGAAAATGCCAAAAGGTAACAAATAATGGTTGAACATAACTAGACGAAAACTTCCAAAAGGATGTAATACTCAAAGCTTTTACAGGTGCAAAGCAGCAATAAATGCAGTCAATGCTAATGATGAGATCCTACGTGACTCGAACTAGGAAAATGCAAGGAACACAACAAGGAAGTCATATCCGTCAATGGTATCTATTAGTACAAGAGTTGGGCACAACCTCAACTATTGCCAGGTTGTGGTTAAGCATAAACGTAAATAGATATATCTTTTTCATATGCAGTGCAGTGTTCAGGCTTGTAATGTGGCAGATGCAGGTTGGTCGAATCTTAGTTTCCAATTAGGAGGTAACGTGGCAAACGCAGGTTCGTTGAATCTTAGCCTATGATTTCCATGAATTCGATATCACAAATGACGTAAAGTTTATACCAAACATTCTATTATCCTTAAAAGAAGTTGCCAAAAGGACTAATTTCCATTATCCGCGAGCATGAAGATAATTTTCACGGTGTATCCTAACAAGAACAAGAAAACTTGCAAAAATATCTTCATAGATTTCATTTTCCAAGTAGTGCATAAAGATTATTACTTAACAAAGAAGAGCTTCATCAACAGCTAAAAAATCCACCAACATCGTTAACAAGCCAGTTCATGTGCAAAAGATGAGATTTTTCACCACATATTGCGTACCCTCTCCCTCCTGCTGCTTCAAGAAATAGCTCAAGTGGGAGGGGCGAACTGACAAGCGGGTACAAGAGGTTTAACAAAACATCCCAAAAAAAGTTATGAAAATAGCAGGGGAGCTAATGAAAAGAGAATCTTTGTCCTACCAAAACCAAAATTTGGAAGGATAAAAAAAAAAAGAAAGAAGAAGAAAAATATAGAATCTTTTACGAGCTTCTACATGAATTTTAGGCAACGAGCACCAGAGTATAATACATTTTATTATTATGCATGAATTGTGTACGGGGAAGGGCATAAAAAATAAAGGGGGTGCAGAAAAGAAGATAACAATACCTTTTGAATCTGTTCAGTGGTGATATTGGTAGGGGGAAATGAAGGCATGACCGGAATCATGGGGGTTTGCTGCATCCCTGCTCACTGCTTAAAAAAAAAACCCCTAAATCTAATTTCCTTTTAATCCCCAAAAGAAGGGTAGGGGAACAAAGAAAAAAATTCCCCAAGTCTTAAAACAGTAAAATATCAAAACCCTAATTGAATTTCTATGGACTGGCAACAAAAGTGAAAAAGAAAAACAAAATACTAATGAATTAGCACAGGGTTTTGTACAATAGAAATGCTCTTATGACCATAAGATTATATCTCTATATGTATTCATATGGTAACTTGACAAGGGAGAAGGGGACAGAAGGAGGAAGGAGGAGGAGAGGTATGAGGAAGGAGAAGAAGGGCATAAAGTGAAAGGTGTTGTTACCTGATGTATTTGAGAGAAAAAGAAAGGCACAAAGTGAAGTTTTTAGGGGGAAGGACCGGGAACCGCAAGACGGTGAGAGAACTAACAAAAGCCTACTTTGGCTACTTTTACTAAAATAAACTTTTGTAGGTCCTTTTCTATTACTAGTAAAACTCATCCAAAAAAGTGTACGTACTACTAATATTAGCCAATTCTGGAGTACATGTTTTTTTTGGCCCCAAAACCAAACCCCCATCCCATCGGAACAACCGGAAAAAGCAGTAGCAGAGTGATTGTTGATCAGCAGGAGAATGGATGTTGTAATAAACCCCTTTAGGCTATGCTCAGGGCTCAAAGTGCTGGGCTATTTCATGATATTCCTGGTGCTTTCCATCATTGCCCTCTCCTACTACGCCGTCGTTATCCTCACCTGGGCTCCCCATCTTCTCCGCGGTGGCTTCAACTCTTTCTTTTCCTTCTTTATCGTCATCCTCTTCCATTATCTGGTAACCTCTTCTCCCACAATATTAATTTTATCTCCCCCTTCCTTTTATTTGCTTTTGTTTCAAAAATCATCACTAGTCTACTATTATTATACACTTTTTTTTTGGGGGGTGCTCTGCTCTAGCTCTAGGTGTGACTTGTGAGACTATTTGTATGTATGCCTATTCATTCCTGGAAAATTCTTAGCTCCAAAGACTTGATTTTTGATGGCGCCCTTTAGTCTTTTAGCTATAAAGATCCCTTTTTTTGGGGGGGGGGGGCGGTGGTCAGTCATTATGAGCTGGGATTTATTTCTTTTTTTTTTCTCCTCTAATTTTTCTAGTTATACTAGTATTTGCTGCCAGTGAGGACATGTTATTTTTCCTAAACTTACTGAAGATACTTCACTGTGTCTAGCTCCAAGCGATTTGCCTTACTTCTCTGTTCAACAAAACTTCATTGATAAAGATGGCTCGATCTGTTGGGAGAAAAAGATGGTGTACTTGACTGCTGACCCGGCTGCCCTATCGTTCAAACTAATTTAACCTAAGAATGAAGAAAGATAATTTCTTACTTTTGTCTTTACCATTTTATTTGTAGAAAAAAGAACGTAAACGTACACTTTGAGATTTAGGCTTTTTCGAAATCTGCGAGGGACTAGCACTTTGATGTAGGCAGTATTAACGAGTATTTTTGGCTTTTTTTGATGCTGCTTTTTGGCCTGAATGTTCTGATAGGTGGCAAAAGTTGGATAAGGATGTTTAGGTTACTTTTAGATGCGAATTTTACTTGCAAAAGTCTGATCTAAAAGAAATCCTGGCAAGAGGTAAATTCATAAGGTTTGAAGGGATTTGCTGTTTGAAAACTTTGCCAGTGGCCATGCATTGTTTCAAATTTGGTTGAATAGCACTCCTTGTGGCCGCTAGGTCATTTAAATTTGCCTTCCATTTTGCAGCTTATTTTGTTAACGTGGAGCTATATGATGGTAGTCTTTCGGGACCCTGGTTCTGTACCTGATAACTGGCAATTAGTATCAGAAGAGGATTTAGAAGAGGGTAACCCCACCTCAATTTCTCACAATTTAGGACCTCAAACTTCAGCCTCTGCATTGTCAGACGGGACAGAAATTAGACCAGCCATACGCTACTGCAGTCAATGCCAAAATGGCAAGCCACCTCGATGTCATCATTGCTCCATTTGTAAGCTTAAGCTTCTCTTCAGTTTCTTCTTTATCTTAGCAATGGGAGTAGGTAAATAACTGTTAATGGAGCTTCAGTTCCCTTACTGTTTTTCCCTGCCAAAATTTCTCTTAGCCGTGGAATAGTTTATATCTCATTTGAGTCCTTTTTTCAACACTGTAAAGAATAAACATCTAATTATCTTTGAGAGGAATAGTTTATATCTCCACTGGTCTTGGTATCTCTGTGGATTATTTGGCATGGTTATGTCTTTTCCCGCTGTTAGTGTTACTACTCATTTGAATAATGTTTGTTAGCAGCTATCCACTTTTCTCCTTTCATTTTGGAGCTCTGTTTTCTCCCTTCTTTTCATTTCTCCTCTAGGGTTAGGGTATTTATGATGTTGATTTTTCTGCCAACCTTGCTGATGCTGCTAATTGTGTCAAAAGCAGCACCCAATTGTCTGAGGGTAACCCATTTATAAAATGCTAGGTTTTTTTTGACATTTCTGTTTCTCGTACTTTGCTGATCCTCCAAATTTTGGTTGATCTTGATATGTGTCCGTTGTATTATTTTCTCCATTTATGGGAAAAAAGGGGTTTTGGGGGGTGGGGGGGGAAGGGGAGAGAACAAAGTTACATGAACATAGCTGTCAGCTTTGCATAACTGCATTATCCTGGTTCATATATCATTTGAGTTATATACTTTTTTGTGGCTTGGATATTTCTTCAAGGCACATGCCTTTAAATGTTGGCTCTCTTGTGTTTAGGTTAAAACTGCTAACTGCATTTGCAGGCCAAAGATGCGTCCTTAAGATGGATCACCACTGCATATGGGTTGTCAATTGTGTTGGGGCAAGGAACCACAAGTTCTTCCTCCTCTTTGTGGTGATTTTGATATTCTTTCCCTTGTATCAAAATAGTTATGCATACTCTTTGCATGAGTTTTTACTGCATTTTATTGATCCTATATGTCTCTTGGACTAGGTTATTAAAACTTTAGAAATAGACAAAGGACCTTTGGCTGGGGTGGATGGGTACGATAAAGTACTGATATTGGCCTATATCACGGAAGATCTATAACAGATGTTGGTTAGACTTCATGTTAGTGCTTTACTTTATTCTGTCCCTGGAGGTGCATATTCTGTTTGTTTTCTAGTCATTTTTCCAATAATAAAAAGATTATTTGAATGTAATCTTTTGCGTTCCTTGTACAGACAATACTGGCACCTTGTTAAGTGGATCTTTTTAAGAAACCAATAATCTGATCTCATGAAAAATTAAAAGCTATTTCATTGTACTCGTTCAGTTAGATTGTTTCCTTTGCTTTGAGAGTTGACCCTCTGAAACACTGGTAGTAAGTCTCCAAACAGTCAATTTGCTAGGAAGTAGAACTGCACATATTTAAAAGATTTCAAACTAGTAGGAACAATATTCTCCTGCACCAATATTGAGTCCTACAAATGACACAGTATAAAAGCTTTAGTCTCCAGAAAAGCTTTTTGTCTGTTTCCTATTTAGATAACCACTTTTTGGCCTCGGAAAGCCAGTGCTTCTTCTTCCTTTTCTTTTCTTTTTGGTCAAGATATGTCCAAGGGCATCTGGGGGATGCTGGATTATGGTCAGCCAGGTCAAACTATTAAGCTCATTTTCGCTAGATGATCGACAAAACTGAGCTTCCAAGATCACACGAGTCCATATCAAGTAGGTTTTTTTGACATGATAGCACCTTGTGGTTCGCAGATGTCACAATGATGGTAGGTTTATATATGCGTGCACACACACGCATACATACATACAAGCACACACATATGTATGTATGTATATTTATATATTTTGGTGGTCCCCCTCTTCTTGTAAATCTTCTTGACCAAGCTGCACATATTTCTTGAATTGCTTTGTGTTTCTTTGCTCAATTCTGGACTAATATGCAGGGCATTTTTTTTTTCAGTTCTATACTTTTCTAGAAACAACGTTGAATACTGTTGTGCTGCTGCCAAGTTTCGTGAATTTTTTTGAGCAAACGAAGAAGCATTCTCTATCACCTGGCAATCTTGCTGTCACCTTTTTGGCCTTTGGTATGTTTTTTCTCCCACAGGTCATCAGCATTTCCATCAAGCATTTCATTCATTCTCATGGATTCCTCTTTCTTACAGATTTTGTGCCTTGATGCAGTTTTGAACTTAGCTTTTGCACTGAGTCTTCTTTGTTTCGTTATTATGCACACATCCCTTCTCTTGAGCAACACCACTTCAGTGGAGGTAATAAATCATATAAATCTTCAATTCTTCTTGGCTTCACATCGTTGTTCCAATTGTCTTAGAAGTGGTAAACTACTGGACATGATGAGAGAGAATGCATGTTTGGAGGTACCTGTAGTTTTGAAAAGATATGTTTTAGCTGGAAGCATGTTTTGATTCTGGATTTGAGCTCTCCTAATGTAAATCGAAGATAAAAGTTAGTTTAGTTGATATCGTATGCAATCCCCACTTGCAGAGTCATACAGTGATGTCGTGTCCCCTGAATCAGTTTTAAGTCCTTTCTTTTGTGTATATCATGGATACATTGACCAAACATATACTGGATGAGGTACCATTGGTTTCTTCACATGCTGATAGTATACGTTTGGGAGAAGATCAGTAGGATAATTAATGAAGTTCGTGATCAATCGAGCCAATAAATTCCAATATGGATCAAAGGATATCGGTTAAGTTAACTTGGGGTGCTGCAAACCAAAGATTTCAATCAATGAGCATGAAATCCCAAGACTTTGCAACCACTAATTAAAGCTTTGCAAGTTGTCTTTCACACTGGATTTTCTTGATAATCTTACTCTGCCTTATCCTTCAGGTTTATGAGAAGAAAAAAGCTGTACACTGGAAGTATGATCTAGGCCGCAAAAGGAACTTTGAACAGGTAAAACTTTATGTTTTTACTGTTTTATTTTACTTAAAGTAAAGCGATTGTGTAGGATTATGTATCAGAACTACTGTTGCAAATCATGGTAAGAGTGGTTCTTTTGAGAATACTCTTGGGGTTTTATTGGGTACTTGGCCTCAATGAGAACAATATTTTCAGCTATTATCAGTAGGGAATATTCCTGGTACTTTTTCAATTCTGACTACATGATTTTTCAAATACAATGTGCTATGTAGTTTTTTTAGTTTAGATTGGGGAAGACGTGCATGCATTTCTGACATTATTTTTCTTTTGCCCCCGCCCCAAATTGTTCTTAAGGTTTTTGGTACTAAAAAGATGTTCTGGTTCTTCCCATTATTTTCCGAAGAGGACTTGAAGAATATTCCCGCACTTCATGGTCTAGACTTCCCAATTCATTCAGATACGGTAGAATGAGCTCTTTCTCTGTTCCACAATGTATGAATTTTTTTTTTTTGTTTTTGTTTTTGGGGAGAGGGGGGGGGGGCGCTGTAATATCTGGTCATAGCATTTGTTCCGTACATTACAAATCATTTAGAATATGTATGTTCTTTTTAAACCATATTTGGGCAGCTGAAAGATACCTGTTACTTTAGAATAGCTTGCATTTGGAGAATTGTGATAGTGGGTTTTATTTGGATATTTGCTTTAAGATAAGACGTAGAGTGCAATGAATAGCCACTTTGGGGAACACCATTATGAAATAGGAGCAACTAGCAAGGGGATTGCTACTCATCCTCAACGCTGGGGGACTGGGCAGAATTAAATTTGCTGGTGAATATTGTGTCTTGCATTGAGCTTTATTGCGGATGTTTGCGTAGGACACATTTTTTTTTAAAAAAAATTGGGCATGGTGGCGTTCTTTGCTGTATTTCTTGCGTTGATGAAGGATGAAGGAAAACTGCAACCACTCTTACCTGTTCAATCACTAGAATACAGGATGTATTTTTACTTGCAGGTATCATGCTCTCCCCCATTTATGGAGTTTTTGGGTGTATGGTTGACCCACTACTAACAATGTAGTCTTTTTCATGGCGCTAAGGTTGTTATCCTATTAAATCGGTCTGTCTGTCTGTCTGTCTTATACAAGCCACTACGAGTACGAGGTTGAGCTTATATTCTTCCTCTCTCTCTCTCTCTCTTTTTTTTTTTTTCTGGTGTTGGGGGTGGGGGTTGTAGTGAGTGTTGGTGGGTTCGCTATGTGGTGTTAGCGTCTGGGGTGTTGTTTTCTTGAAGGCTGTATGATTATGAAACAGGAGCAGAGGAATGGAATATTTTAATTCCATCCGGCCTCTACAATATCTTTCCTTTTTGGTTCTTACTCTCCTAGTAGATCTTTCTGTAGACTGACCAAGAAGGAAGCTTGGTTTTAGAGAAGGAAGTTTGCGTTGACATATTGAAACTTGGGTGGTACTACTGTCTCCCTGGTGAAGGCCACGTCCGTTCCAGGCTTCTACTACCTAATGTACTCCTCCTTCCTACTCTGTAAACCAACGCCCCCAGTTGGTAAATAATTGTAATAGTACTATGCCAAAATGACGCTACCAGTCAGTACTCTTATAAACAAACAGTACCAACTGAATATTCGACGGCAGTGCACAGGAAGATGCCTGCCTTCCGGCCCGCGTTAATCAGTACTTAGTAGTTGCTTATTTTATTGGATTGGGTAGGTCTGTGCAAGTGCAGGAGAAGGAGAGCGGGCTGGCTGCCCACCTTCGGGTGGTGGAGAAAGGCAAATCGTCGTAAAAATGCTCAACAGTCTGCGTCCGGTACAGAAGCAGAAGCAGTTGAACTTGAACAAGCTACAAAAACTTCTTATTGAATATTCGAATATTCAACTCAGTTACTTCTCGTAAATAAAAATGCCGCTGCTCCCTGAGTAATCTCGATTTGTTAGAACGATAGATGCCAGTAGCAATTTTAATCCCCCTATTTTCATGGAGCATGTTGGAGTTTATCTGTATCTAAGAGGATTCTTTTCCTGTTGGCTGCTGTTTTTTTTTTTTTTTTTTTGCGTAGCAACTAGCAACAATCTCATTAAATAAATCCACAGAACAAGACCAACCCATCCTCTGATGATATTCACTCTCTCTCTCTCTCTCTCTCTCTTGCTGGGGGACAGAGGGTGTGGGGAAGATGGATGGATGGTGATGGGGGGAAGAGAAGGTGGGACTCACCGCCGAAATCAAAATCCGATTGATGAATTTTATGCATCATCTGTCGGGATCATCAGAGGATATAACGACCGTGGTGTCAACTGCTGGGTGCAGGTCGCCACCATCTTTATGATCTTCTTCACCTTCATTGGAGCTGAATATATGTGAGATGAAAATTGACAACCAAACAATTGCGGGAGTGACCAACAAAATGAGGCCGAAGGGCACCATCCATAGTTGACTGTTGGTGCGATGATGCCTGAGCTCCCAATGGGTCAACATTAGCCCGCCTACCATGCTTACTGAAAATGAAGCCAGGCAAGATATCCACGTCCCCAGTACTCTCCTCGGGAATCTTCTCTTATACTCTGCTGCATCTCTGCCTTCCTTGTATGATGATGATTCCATCCTGAGGAAAAAGATGGTAGCTAGCGCTCAATAACAAAAAAATTTGGATAAAAACCACCCCAAAAGCCAAAAAAAAAACCTACGTATCTGTCTATATTATGCGGATGTGGCTTCGGAAACCCCGCCTTAAAACTCTGAGACGCTCTATTGTTTGACTACATCCCAAATTTCTATCCTATAACAAGTTAACAACAACAGGTAAGACTGGTACTGCGAAAACAAGAAAGAGAGAGAGAGAGAGAGAGAGAGAGAGAGATAACACAAGAAGGTTTGGTGAGACTGAACTCTGGATAACACCGCTCCGGTGACGATGAATCGATGATTGACGGAGTAATATTAAGCAGCAGAAAAGAAGGCATGATATGGTAGTGCAAGGCGTTGAATATATAAGAGAGAGAGAGAGAGAGAAGATGGATGATATTCCATGCTACGTGTATCTGGAAGTGATTGAATTGGCTGGCTGGCAATCATCCAAAACTAAACACTACTATTACAACTTTTTAACTAGACTTCTTTAAGCAACTTGACTTTTTAAGCGTAGGCTAAAAGGAAGGACTTGGGTGAGCAAAGAGTGGAAGCAGCTGGGCTGGGGTTAGAAGGCTCGAGAATCCATCCAATTACTTTGGGACACGCACTGCATCCAGCTGAAACAGCCGGGGAAGGTTTCTTGCTGCTTCGCCCAGTTACAGCCTAGTAGACTATATGCAAGACATTGATGATGGACTGCAGGACGCACCCGCAGCCAATTTAAGGAATTAATTCCACGAGAATTCCTTGATGGATCATCTTCTTTATGTACATGCATCATCAATTCGTAGCCATATCCTAAGTACTCGTAGTAAATAGTAGATTAGCACCAAACCATACTCCTCACCCCGCTCGACTGGGCTCAAACGTGCCTTTTTGTCGAAGTTGTTGTTAAGTACTGACACTTGATGTCTATATATCCATACATACATATGTGTGTGTGTGTGTGTGTGTATAAAGAGAAAAAAATTGGTCTCATCATGATGAGCACTTCCTCCGTTACGTCTCAGCTTTTTGGGAACTACTACCACCACTAGTAAGTAAATAGTAATAAGCTACGTAGACAGTTGTTATTTTGAGTTTGATGGAGATATCTGGGGAAGAATTCGTCATTTGTTTATCTGGAGGAGTCCGTTATTAGTTCTGTGTGTAATTATATCAAATTAAACTAGTAGTGGGGGCTTAACCAGAGTATAAACTACTTATTCGATTACCTCGTGAGCGGTGATACGAGGTCCTGTAAAAATGGTATGTTTTACATTTTTTAGATTTAGAAAGCAAAAATTTAACTATTTGAGTTGTATTTGTCTCGTTACGTTATATTGTATCCAAATAGTATTTGTTTGTTTGTTTTTAAGGGATAAGTATTGTGAAAAAAATTACAGTGAATTGTATATTTACAATGACTCGATGATTTGTTGATATTTAAGATACTTAATTGTTGGCTGGAATTTGACTGAAATTTGTTACAAGGCAAATTTCTATTAACACATGGGGGGAAGCGGGCAGGTGCGGGGTCAGGGGAATGTTTGGGCAACCCATTCCTAGACTTGCCCAAGTTTGTCCATTTTAAGCCTGGGCCTAGATTTTAGGCGGATACCAAGCGTGGCCTATTTGTAAAATATGTAGTCCGTTAATTCTTGTATCAAATGGGGCAAGTTTGAGCTAACCAAATTACCGGACCAATTGACATTCCTAAAAATAAGACCCCATTTGGCAAGTGAATTTTTTAGCTATTTATTTAAAATTTTACTGTAACATATTGTAGAAGTTGTAGAAAAAATTTTTGAAGAGTGTAAATTTTTAAATATTTTGAAATACATAGTTTAAATACTTTGAGAAAATTTTTGAGATTACTGCTATGTTTTCAGAATCGGGCCGGATAGCGATTCGGCCGAGGTCAGGGGTCAGGGGTCAATGGGTTCGACCGGGGGTCGATAGGGGTCGAACCAGATGACGTCATAAATAAAAATTATTTAAAAATTAAAATATTATATATATAATATCTAATAATATATTGATATTAATAAAGGTATATTCATATATATTTGATGTTTCAAATATATTTAACAAGAAAATACAAAGAAATTAGAACAGTCAAATAGTAATTTATATTATTTAATGAGTATTAACAAGTTTAGAATTAAAATTATGGATTTAATTAAAAAATAATACCAAATTTTAAGATAATATTTATAAAGTATGAAATATTTGAGATATATTAATAATTTTTAATAACCTAGGGATCAAAATATAATATTAAAAATATTTTGACCTTCAAGAAAAAAAAGAATCTACATACATGCATGGAGAGGGGGCAACAAGAAGATATGGATGTTGTATGAACACGTGCGAGCGAGTTGTGGCCAGGATGTAGCAGCACTGCTGCAGTAATCAACTGTGCATGCATGTCCCATTACAAAAATGGTTGCGTTTTGGGATTTTGGGCTGGGCACATGGAGCCAAGGAGATGCGGGTCCCTCTCTTTCCTTTCCTTGCGTGAGATCTAAGATGCATGGTGGAACCCGGTTCTTAATTTTCCCGGTCAAATCGGGTCAAACCCGGGTTTTGACCTGGTTTGACCGAACTTTTAATTTCCCGGTTTTTAAAGTTAGCTCGGACCGGCCAGTCCGGTCCGAGTTTGAAAACAGAGGATTACTGTAGTTACGATTGTTAAAAAACTTGTAGTAGACAAACTTCGCCAAAAACTTACTTGTCAAACAAGGCCAAGATTCTTCTATTCGATGTCACAAGGTAACAGGTGGAGCTAGTAATATTCTATTTGCAAAAGATAAAAATTTTCCATGCAGAAATGTAGGCAAAATATGGATTAGAGATACATACTGTACACATATATACACACATCATTAAACAAAATGGCTGCAGAATATATCATATGATTTGCAAGCGGTCCTACCGTAAATACTTTTCATACACATTTTTTTCTAAGGCAAAACTATAACTTTTATTGATAAGGGACAGGTATATTTATATACGAGATAGAATATCTCATTTTACATGTTAAACCAACTACCACAGGCAGTGTTTTGAAAACCGGACCGGACCGGACCGGCCGGTTCGACCGGTTGAACCGCGAACCGGCCAAGGCTCCGGTCCGGTTCACTGCCAGGTTTGACTTTGTCAAGAAACCGGTCAAAAACCGGTCGGACCGCGAAACCGCTGAACCGGATTTGAACCGGTTATTTCCGGTTTTTGAGTTTTCTTTTTTTTTTTTTTTTTGCAAAATGTAGTTATCAAGATTCGAACTCAAGACCTTTGTAATAGAAGACCAATGTAGTAACCGTTGCACTATCACATCTTATTAGTTTTTTTTGATAACTTATTTATATAAAACAAACACTCATATTTCTTTTGTTCCATTTTTTTTACAAAATATCATCCTTTCATGACTCTTTCTTTTTAATCTTCACACACACACACACACACACTCTCTCTCTCTCTCTATCATCTTTTCTTTTGCCACTCATTTTTTAATCAAACCTCTTTATTTTTAATTTATTGATGTTTTCTTCCATATTTTAATTTTGTTTTTGTCCATTAAATTTAAAAAAGTTAAAAAAGAATTATTTTTCTTTAACCCAATTTATTTAATACCACAACCACTCACTTTTATCTCATTTTTTGTTTCTTATCAAATTTGCATTTCTATTTTCAATTCTCTTGATTTTCTTCGAACTCCAAACTTCCTTTTTTAAATTATAAATTTAAATTTCAAAATGTAAATTAAAATTTAAATTCACAATGTCTAAATTCTCATAGACGTGAATTTTGTATAATTTCAAATATTGTGATATTTTTGGATTATATTTAAGATTTTTTTGGTAGATATAATTGAAATTGAGATGAAATTTATTTGTTTTAACTTATAATTTAAAAAATTTATTTTTAAAAATCCAAGTTATTCAAAAATAGTAAACTTTTCATCATATAAAGAATTAAATTATCCATTACATGTCTTATTTTGTGCACATATATATTTATATAAATTATTTTTTAAAAAATTTATTGAACCGAGGTTGAACCGGTCCGACCGGTTGAACCTCGACCCTTTCACTTCACCGGTTCGATTAACGGTCCGATTTTTAAAACATTGACCACATGAGCCTATATCGGACCATTACACTGACTAAACACTGTGAACGGGGATACTCCATTCCAAAGCCAATTTCTAGCTTTCATGAGACGTTGGGATCTGTCCCCATGCAAGAGCCATATGCCTAATCTTCTCTACCATAGCTTCCATGGAGAAATTTCTAAAATTATGATGAATTTTAAAAAATTCTATAAAGGGGGCATTTTGAGTATGGGATTTCGTCCAAGGGATCTTCGCATTCAGTAAATGCGAAGTCTCCCTTAATTTTCGACCAACGAAATCAAAAAAAAAAAAAAAACCAGACCTCGCATTTATGAACCTCGCATCTCTTAAATGTGATGCCACTGAGATGCGAGGTCAGTGAAAAGAAACAGAGCATAGCCATATCTTTTATACTGTTTCTGAACAACAGAGCATAGCCACGAATTTGAAAGCCATTTGCCAAGTGAAAAGAAAATGTGCAGCGCAAATGGGACACAAAATTGGTTGGGAAGTCCTGTTGAGGTAGTAAAAGTGGCAAATTGGGAGGGGGGGAGAGAGGCGCAGCTGGCTAGCTTGGCAGAAACGGGTTCCAGACAGGGGTTGATGCTCTACAATGGTGGTGAGCTTCCGATGAGAACGATGTGAGGGATTCCGTCTGCCGATCCTGGAAGCTGCAATTCTGTTGTTTAGCTCAGCAAAAGAGAAGAGAGAGTGAGCTCCAATTTCTGCCGATTAGGAGACAGATTTGAATGCCTACTGTTTAGGTCTCTCTACATTGATTGGTGTTTGTATAGCGTTTGAAGTGAATTCTTGGGTCATTTTTTGTAGAAAGGCCAAAGAAGAAAAGTTGAGAAGAGAAGGATTCATTAGTGGATGTTTTGACAAAGCAAGTGGTTCAAGCCGAGGTTAAATTGAATCACTGCTTTTGGGGACATTTCAGATTCAGTACCTCGCATTCGAGAAATGCGAGATACCTGAGCTCGTATCTGGTGAATACGAGCTTGGTAAGTTGGCATTTGCCAAATGTGAGCTTCGTTGCTGTTTTTTTTCCTTTTCCCCAAAAGTGTTCTCTTTTTTGGTGAAACACTGACCTCGTATTTGTGAAATGTGAAGATCATACTCCTAGAACTAGCTTCAAAAATTACCCCCCTTGTAGAACAACATTTTTTTTTCATAACAATTTAAGAATTTACTCAGCTTCCATGATGCTATCTGCCAAAACTGAAGCAGACCTGAATATAGCAGCATCACGTGCCCTCCAAATATCATAAATCACCATAGAAAAAAAAAAGTTTTTTGAACTGCTGCACAAAAGTCTCACCAGTCCAACGTTTGGATACCCACGGAAGCTCCTTCTCCAGTGCACCAATCCCTCTAACAATCCCTCTAAATGTCAAACACATTCTCTGAGCTTTTCCTAAATCATGGATGAAGTTTTGCACATAAAAAACAGGTGATCAATGCTCTCTTCAGCTGCAAAAAAAAGCTCTTGGCCCTTGCTCCCTTAATTTCTCCATTGCTATTTTCACCAAAAAAAGCTCCTGAGGCACTATAGCTGTTCACCGAACATGATCGGATTGTCGAGATCATGGTTCAAAGTCGCGGTTGCAGTTATGGTCGCGACCTGGACCGTTCCATATCAGTCTCGGCATATCGGTCAAGGTCTCGACGAGACGCGAATTTTTTGAAATATGTAAT